CGGTGGTGGACGCGGACAAGGAGAACTGCGCCGCCTACTACGAGCGGTGTCTGCAGCTGCTGCGACCCGGAGGCGTCCTCGCCATCCCCCGAGTAAGGACCCGCGAGGTACTCGAGGCTGGGCCCGGGCGCCTCCCCTCGCGGTCCGCGTCCCCAGCACTCGCCCCGCCCTCCGCAGGTCCTGTGGCACGGAGAAGTGCTGCAGCCTCAGAAGGGCGACCTGGAGGCCGAGTGCGTGCGAAACCTGAACGAGCGCATCTGGAGAGACGCCAGGGTCCACATCAGCCTCCTGCCGTTGGGCGATGGCCTCACCCTGGCCTTCAAGATCTAGGGCTGGGCCCTAGGGAGTGGGCTCCAGGGTTACCTAGGAACCCGGGCACTGACCTTAAATTTTAAATCCAATAAAGTGGGGCTGGGGCCCAGGACCTCCAGAGGCTCCTCCCTGGTGATCCCGTTGGGGCAAGTGCGTCTCTGAAGCAGGATGTAGTTTCCACCCGGCCTCAGGCTTGCCAGGAGGGCGGGGTGCACAGCCAGCGCACTTGCAGGCACACGCCCTTGAGCCGCAGCTCCCCCTCAGGGCAGGTGAAGCTCCAGGGTCAGTGCATCCCGGACTGAGACCCCACCTAGGATGACAGTGGGAAGGGGGACCTGCGGGGCCCAACGTGATCACTTTTGGAAGCCTGTGGCAAACTCCAGGCAGCGCCATCCCCTGAGAAACAGGCCCCTTGGTCAAGACGGGAGCCTTGGCAGGAAGGTGGGGGCTGCTGGATCAGAGCAGCGCAAACCTGCGAGGGAGGACACTTTCCTGACATTCTGCAGGACTCCCCCGTACCTTTTCTCCCAGATTATAAGGCTAACAGGGTGCACGTGAATGCACTTTACCTGATCCTTACACCTGAGCACACTTCCAGTCCACTGACCAGGTGAATCTGCTGCAGAGTGGAGCAAGTCAGCCAAGGGCCAACAGGCCCAGAGCCATCCCAAGCATAAAGAGTTGCATTTCTTTGTTTTTTGAGACAGGGTCTCACTATATAGTTGAGACTGACCTGGAACTATGTAGCCCAGGCTGGTCTCGAACTCAGTGATCCTCCTGCCTCAGCCTCCCCAGTGCTGGGATTACAGGTGTTCACCACCACACCCTGCAAGGAGTTGCGTTTCTAATGCAGCTGGCAGGCACCTGTTTTCTTAATGAAGCACTGGGTCCCCAATCAAACTACAACCTGCTGCCTGATCTCTCAGGCCTGCGTCTGGGAGAGTCTGCTGGAAAAGCCATCTTCAGAGTCCCTACCTGGCCTGCTCCAGCCAATCCCTCGGGACAATGAGACCAGAGGGCTTTGGTGCCTTGTGGAAACTCTGCCTGAGCGTCCCCCTCATCAGGTTCTTCTCACTTGGAAGCAGGTAGCATGTACAACTTCTTCTTAGGTGAGCAAAGTGTTACACTTTCATACCTTCCGAGCTTCAGAGAGAACTTAATAGTCCCGCGTTAGATTTGTTCGCCAACTCTCCTAACCTTTCATTTTACCCTTGACTCCCTCCTCTCATCGGAAAACTTGCTCTTTTCTACTTTTCCAACCAAAATCACGCATCAATGTTAACCACTCACATCCAGATGAAGGCCAAGGGGGCCGCCCTGGCTCATTCCTTGGACCTGTTTCAGGCAACGTCTGTTTGAAGGTAATAGGCCTTCTCAAACTAGGACCTGTCCAAGAACAAGCCAAAACACTTTGTTAAAAATACGTATTGCAGTAAGACACAATGCAATTAACCCTCAAATATCCCCTAACTTCAAACACACTTTATCCCATCGTCCTTGCCACTTTCTGGCAAGTTCTGGAAGCTTTTGTGTCTTCGTGAGGATTGATCAAAAACATCACAGTGAGTATCACACTGCACCATCCACGGAAAGGCAGGCTCGTAAAAATACCCGGTGCACCTCATCCATGTTACCCCAGCTGGCTCTGGGCAACTTCAAGTCAAAATGGCCATGAGGGCCAGGGATTTAGCTCAGGGGCGCTGTGCCTGCCTCTTAAGGTCAAGGTCCTGAGTTTGATCCCTGGTAAAAAAAAAAAAAAAAAAAAAAAAAAAAAAAAAAGATGGCCATGAAAGGCAAATGAACACGGTCAGCCATGACAACACAACTGACGTGACACAGGACTTCCCAGAACAGAAAGTGGCAAGAGCAATAAGGTGTATTTGAAGCAAGGGGGGAGTGTTTCGAGGAACAATGTCTCTCTTACTGTAACAATTTTTTCAGCACTTATTTTTTATCACACCTCATACACAGCCTCTGTGGCAGTGTGATGGTGAACCTTTTGAGTTTTCAGTAATAACAAGCAGCCAGCTGCGGCACACAGGCCATAGGTTCACCACCACTGGTCTATCTTCTACTTCTCATCCCACCAATATAAGGTTTAGTGCATTTTCTATAGCTGTAGCATACAGGAGTTTGACACAAGCACAGAGCCTCTCAGCATGATCCCTACATTTTCCTTCTTTACTCTCTCTGGATGTGCCTGAGATTAACAATGACCCAGTGGAAATGCACACAAACTGAGGAGTGTGTGTCGTCTTATTTTATTCTAATCTTAGAATGCTCATGGAATTATTCACAGCAGAGTTGGTGACAGATTTAGATAAAGAGCAAAATGCTCACTAGAAAAATGGTCTCTTTATCAGAGATTTGACCCTATCGGAGATTTGGCATTATCTCTAACCCTGCAAATACATGGAGCCATCAATTATGTATACTTGTTTTATTCACAATTTGTGATATCCTCAGATACCAAAAGTAAATCTGATGGCTGAATTTTTAAAAATTAACCTCATCTTCAAACACTCCATGTCATTCGATGGCAATATTAAAATGTTAAAAGGAACATAAACATGCACACAACTGCACAGTTTTCATAAAGGTCTATTTCATTATTGGTGGGTAGCACAATTTAACAGTTAAATACATTTAAATAATGTATAAGTGACTGCACAACTGCAGCATTGGTAACTAGATAACTAATTCAACTAGAAACCAATAAGGTAACTGTCTAAATACTTAAAATACAGCTCTTGTTTACATCATCCTTTGTTTCATCACCTTCTTGGGGAAAATAAAAGCCTGCTGGTCAAAATGGAAATATATTAAGGCCAAATCCGATAGCCACTGCCAGAGGTTTCTTTCATCTGGATTAAGCCTCCAACTCGAGGGCAAGCCCAAGCTTGTGGCCTCCAGCATTAATGCTCTTCCCATCTACCAAGGCAGACAGTGTAAGCTTCACACCTGTAAACAAAGCAAATTACCGTGATGGGCCTGAACTCCTGCTCCACCCTGCTCCCAAGTCCTGAGTTCCATAAAAGCCACCCAGAGCCTACCAGAGCCTGCCTGTGGCTTCCTTAAACGGCCACAGTTTAAGTTACCAGTATCAGCCACCAGAGGGCGTTGGAAGTAACAAGATACTAAGAATTGTTTGTAAAGGTACCAAAAGTTCCTGCATAAAAATGTTAGTTCAAAGTGTTCTAGAAAATGTTTACACTATTCTGACTGAAAGATACAAGAGAAGTCAAACACTAATTGGACCCTAGAAAGGAAAAACAACAATAAATAGATATTTAGAGGCAGGGACAAGTAGAGAAACCTGAATACAAACTACCTATTAGAGAAAATGATACTGTCTTAGGTGTGGAAGCAGTACTGCAGTTATAAAGAAAAATGTCTTACTCTTAGGCTATAAATGTTAAGGAAAGTCTGTCTACATGTCTGCAAACATTTTTTGAAAGTTTATGTAAAAAGAAAGGTTAAGTGTACAGAGAATGTGATAAATCATGGGAAGTTCACTGTTTTTCTTCAGACTTTTCTTTAGGTTTAAAAACAGTCAAAATTTGGAGGGGGCTGGGTATGTAGCTCAGTGACGCTGCACCTGCCTGGCAAGTGCAAGGTCCTGAGTTTGATCCTCAGGACTGGGAGGAAAAAAAAAAAAAAAAAAAGAAGGAAAATTTGGAGGGAAAATGTCTGCTAGAAGGGGAAAAAATGCTCTCAGTACTTTAGAACCTTGCTAGTCAATAGTTTAAAAATGAGAGACAGACATAGAAAGGCAGAGACAGAGGAAAGAACCAGAGAACTGGGAAGCTCAGTAGAAGTACAGCACTCTACATCCCAGCCCTACTAGATCAGGATCTGCACTAAACTGTCTCTGCAGGGCACTGACATACACACTCAAATTTCGAAGTGTTGCTCCAGAAAACACATCAAGAAACAAATATTATGTGAAGTAAACAAGATTAGAGACAGAACCAACCCAAGCGGGTGAAATCTGAGGAAACAGGAACTATTACAAGTACACATTTACTTCTGCATTTTAGATTAAAAGAAGATTGAATGGGAAATGGTCACCACTAACTTTTCTTAAGAACAGAACATTCTTATTCTGTGATGCAACCAAAAAGACTTTCCAATGGCTCAGGGAGGGTGAGAGAAAGGGAAACAATCATATTGAGACGTGAATAACTGTCAAGACAATCCTCCTCTATGAATACTTACCAGGCCTCAGAGTCTGAGTGTAACCCACTCCAATTAAACTAGAGTTGTTGACCTTTGCCTGAAATAAAATTAAAAAAAAAAATTAAGAAAAACTTTTTAATGAAAAGACAAAGCTCCTACACATTTCACTATCATGGGATTGTGAAGAGTTCAACTTTTTAATCTACTTGTGAGATGATACAATTTACTACTGTGTACTAAACCAAAGAAAAACCAGGTGACACATCTTAATTCTCCTCCATGAAATTAACATCGAATTTTGAGTAGGGCTGTGCACCATGGGACACATCTGTAATCCTAGCTACTCGGAAAGCTAAGGAAGGAAGACACCGTGTTCCAGGCCAGCCTGGGCAACTTAGCAAGACCCTAACTCAAAATAAAAAATAAAAAGGGATGGGGTTGTAGTATAACATCCTAAGGTTCAATTCCCAACAAAGAAAGAAAAAAAGACATTCTTTTTTAGTAGAGCCCAAGGGTATGTCCACGGGCCCAAAGTGTCCACAGAGCCCAACCACTCTCATAAAAAGTCCTGAGTTGTCTAACCACAAAGGAAGGCCAAAATATGGCTAGTAAAGCCCAAAAGGCTCATGAGATGACCCACACCAGCTTTGAATTGTAGGATGTTAAGTTTATATTCATGATGTGAATACACAGGGCTCTTCCTCTTAAGAATCCTATCAAGTAATCTGATACTTCACATTCTCACACTTGTGCATAAGCCACTGAGTCCTGATGGAACCAGTCCATGCCTGAAAGGAGCTTCCTTCCCTTGAGGCATCATTTACCAATCAATGCTCCTGACTTTCTTGTACAATCCTAAAACTTCAGGATTTAGTCACAAACCTTCCAGGGCTGGCAGGAACCCTGGAGAGCAAGCTATGGCAAGGAGAAGCTCCTTAGACCTCCTTCACCACCACTAACACCAAGCCACACCACAGCCATATCTATGGCTATAAATGGAAGCACCATCTAGGCTGCTTGGCCAGGCAATTGAGCTCTTCAGCATTCTGGAGGGTGTGGTGTATGTAACAGGACAGACAGCCAGTGAGCAAGACAGATTTGGAATGATTTGATGAGTACACTGTTGTTACGTATTACATCAAAACAACACACAAGCCAAAGAAAGAATTGATGTAACCATACAAGCAAAAGCCACACGAGCATTATTTAGTCACTGATACAGCCACAATCATCACGATCACTGAGCCACAACGATCAAGTGAGTTATTTATCTAAAGAATACTCCCACTAATGACCATCTTATGCCCAACAAATCAAAAGCCTCAGTGAGCTAGATACAAGTTCCTATTATTTAACAGCAGCCAACCATCCAAGTGTGATTGGAGCATCAAGCATGGCTTCCAGGCACTTCTGGACAGGACAGACAGCAGCTCTACTTAGGGGAAAATGCTAGATCCATTTCCCAATGAATTCCCCACAGCCACATGATGACACACAGATCTCAAGCTATCTTCCCATTTAAACTACAAGCTGCTGGGGCTGAGGATTTGGCTCAGTGGTTCCACTGCCTGACTCGAAAGCACAAGTACCTGAGTTTGATCCCCGGTACCATTAAATAAATAAACAAACAAACTATAAGCTGCTAGTAGCTGATCAGAGCTTCTGCTGGCTGGTATTAAATGTGTGAGGGGTGGGAGAAGAGAGGAAGAGGAAATAAGAATCAAGATGCAATACATATATGTACCAATTCCCCACAATGAATATATTTATTATGTATTGCAAGCAAATAATAAAAAGAAAAAAGATTAAAAAATAAATAAAACCTGTGATGGTGCCAGACCCACACATGAGCACAGCAATGTAACTAACTACCAAAGAAGTGTTGCTGCAGGAGGTTCTGACTGGTATAGTGCTATAGTAGTGAAAAATAAATAAATCATTGCCTTGCCAATGGAAAAAGCATTCCATGTTCTGATGTGCTTCTTGTTCTGATTACAACTGTACTAAGTTAAATCAAGAATGGGTTAACACTTAGCTGCCTAAATTAACAAAACATACTGTCCTCAGGGATGGAAGAGCACTTTATGTAACAGAAATAACTGATGGGTGATTTTAACTTTCTTTCACTCCCAGTACATACAGTACAGGCAGTCCCTGACCTGTAAGCAACTGACATGCAGAAACAGCTGCTGATCTGCCTGAAACTAAAGCCAGCCCCTCTGCACTGTCCCCTGCCTCACTGTGCCCTCCCTACCTTGGCCCACTTCGTCTGAAGGGACAAACAGTAGAAAGAGTCTAAGGATGGGACTAGGATGGCCAACTATCCCACTGTGCCCTGTGCAGGGGAGAGGAGGGAGGTATCCTTGGGACACTTAACTCTTAGGAACAGTCCTGGGCAAAGGAAATGTTTCTTAGCCTAGACAAGACTGAAATTAAAAGACATAGGGTCTAGTCCTGGCTCTACTCCATGCAACCCACCAGGCCAACAGTGATCCTTTCCCTTGCCAAGCTTCACCTTTTTCAACGGAAGATCTTTCATAAATCACAAAAAGACAACGTCAAAATTAACTGAAGTACAAATGACAAATAAGAACTGCCCAGGGCCTAAAACACCAGCTACTCAGGCTTAGACAGGTTTAGGTCCCAACACTAGGTGAACAGCTTTTAAGGTTAAATTAACATGTGTGACCCAGCCAAAAAAAAAAAAAAATCAAATTTCTAACACTGTCACCACAGGAAAAGGAGCATTTCAAATGCTTACCCAAATTGATCTTTAATTGGGGATAGTGTGAACTACAGTTCAAATTTTCAACACAATTCAATACACCCAAATCCAAAATTGACTCCCACAACCAAAATTTCATCCTAAGAGTACTCACAGAAATGGAAGCAGTGGGATCCAACTGATATTTAGCTGCAATGCCGAAGCGAGTGCTGTTGGTACCTGATGTCCAAGCAAGATTTACTGAAGTGTCAAGATCTTCACATACTTTCTGATATATTGATCCTCCAAATTCTGTCCCATCATTGCTACAAGATACCTTAAATCAGTAAATCTAGAATAGACAATGTCATCATTTCTAAGACACAGATTAATAGTGTAGCATTGCATTTAAAGAAAGCCACTGTTAGGGCCCAGGATTTAGCTTAGAAGTGCCACCACCTGCCTCCCAAGTGCAAGGTCCTGAGTTAGATTCCTGGTACCAAAATTTTAAAAAAAGCAAAAGAAAGCCACTGTCAGGACCAGGGAGACAGCTCTGAGCATTTGCCTGGCCTGCAAAGACTATGGATACCACCCTTCTACCCTACCACCCGAGGGGAGAGAAATTGATTGTCCACTGGTCTTTAGCATTCCACTGAAAACTCCCAAGTTGTAAAAGGCCTTTTCTTAACTCCTATCTCCAGTACAGAGATTAGCATGAAGTCACCACCAGCCAAGAACAATCATGTCATAAAATGCATAATGCTATGGGAAAACTATCAAAACATACTAAATAAGAGCAAAAGGCTTAAAAACAGTCTTTTAGGGCACCCAGCATGGTGGCACATGCCTATAATTCCAACACTTGGGGCTGAGGCAAGAGAATCGCCATGGCTTAGAGGCCAGCATGGCTACACTGTGAGTATAAGGCCAGCCTGAACTGCAGCGAGATCCCATCTCAAAAAAAAACAAAAAGAGGGCCAGGGATTTAGCTCAGCGGTTTGGTGGCCTGCCTTGCAAGTGCAAGGACCCGAGTTTGATCCCCGGTACCAAAAAAAAAAAAGAAAGTCTTTCAGATATGTATTACGCAGCTGGTGGGATCATGGAAAATGTTTTTCTTTATGCTTCTGTTATTTACTAACACAATGCTTTTATATTAAGAAAAAAAAAAAATGCAAGGCCCTTCCATATATCTATTAAATTTCAGTTAAACAATCCTGTCAGATCTGCACCCTGACACATCACAGGTAATAAAACTCGAATATACTGACAGCACCCTGCCAATGTCTGATACATCTTTTAAAAATACAAAACAAAAAAAATTTTTGACTTAAAAAAAAATACAAAGCATGTCAAACCTCATATGAAATGAACATTTATTCTCAGTACCTAAGTGAGACTAACATTTTTATTATACACTTCTGAGAAGCACCACAGATATAGCCAAGGATTTCTTTTCTTATATTAAGAGAAATCCTAAACCACTTAGGCTGAAACTGGATAAGACAACATCAAATACCATCCTCTGAGGGCCACATCACCATAGCCTACAAAAGAAATACTTACACATTAGTGTGTAGCTGGAAGTCCCCAGTCCTGTAGCCCACTGCGAAGTTATTCCTTGTCAGCTTTGATTTGGCACTGTCAAAAGTCATCTGGTACCCGGCAAGCCAGCCCTCATAACCAAAGACAGCAGATCCATGGATTGCAGGCCCAGCAAAATCAAAATCAACATCACAACCAAGGTTTATACACTCCCTCTTGTAAGAGGACTTGATTTTACCACTTTTCTTTCTGGAAAAAGAACAAAATGACTTAAAACTAATGCCAGTGGGAAATATTTACACAAACAACCTCTGCAAAAATAGCAAAAGAAAGGAGAAGTAAATGAAGAAATACAATCAGGGTTAAAAGATAGCTCAGTGAATGAAGACCAGGGCATATGGGGTAACTAGACTGCCAGTGTTGTGGGAAGGATGCTTTGTAAACCTGGCAATCAGTCAAGAAAAGCCTCTTAGAAACAAGTTAATCAGCCAAATTAGTACCACAATGAAAAGAGGCAAGTATCTGAAAGTAAGCCAATAATAGCAAACATGTCCCAAAAACAGAAATAGAAGTTGGCCATTACAATACAGTAGAGCAAACTGTCAAACAATAAATGTGTTTCTTTCCTAAACAGACAAGAGGAATGCTTTTAAACTTAATGCAGACACATGCAGAAGATTGACTCTAAAGCCATCTTTCTCACTATGGACCTAAACTAAAATCAAAATGGATCAAAGGGCTGGGGATGTAGCTCAATGGCGACACACCTGCCTGGCAAATGCAAAATTCTGAGTTCGATCCTCAGTACCCCCCCCCCAAATGAATCAAAGATCTAGCTGGAGGATGTGGTGGGCACAGTGGTGTGTACCAGTTGTAATTCCTCCACTAGGGTGGCTGAGGCAGGAGGATGCCATGAGCTCAGGGCCAGCCTGAATTACAGAGGGAGCCCCGTCTCAAAAAATAAATAAATATATATGTCTATATAAAAATATATATAAGGAGCAAAATAAAAGATAACAGGAAATAGATTGATCTTTTACAAAGGGAAGGAGACCAAGAGACTGGAGAGAGGGTGGTGAGAGGAGATGGGAAGGGGATGAAAAAAGAATTGAGAGGTTATGTACATGTACCAACTCCCCCGATGAATATAATTATTATGTGCTATAAACATGTACTGGTAAAAATTAAAATTTAATTTTTAGGGCCAGGGATTCAGCTCAGTGGTTCTGCTCCCTGCCTTGCAAGCACAAGGACCCAAGTTCGATCCCCAGTACAAAAAAATAAATTCAAGTATAAATTCAATGCAGACAAAAATGTCCATGCTTACCCTGTGTTTGGTGAGAAGGTAGTATCAAATGTCAGTTTCAAACCTTGACAAATCTATTTAGAAGGAAAAAAATTTTTATACTGTTTTATCTCCCTTCTAAAATACAAAACTAAAATTAATACTAAAGCGTTTTTCAAATGTTACCTGATCTTCAATTGCAATTTCTGTTCCAAGAGTGTTATCAGTATTCCACTTCTCTGTGAAAGTGAGACCATACTCACACCATTTATATTTGGTCTCCAAGGTCCCAGTAACTTTACCAGTGTCTGTGTTGGATGAACCAGATGTGGAGAATTCCTAACAAGACAATGAATGATGTCAAGAACCTTCTCATAAAAATCTGTTGCCTAACTTACCTGATACTCATGTGCTATTCCCTAGCCACACACAAGTGACAAATTAGCCTTTAAGTGACTGCCACCTAATTTACAGCTGACATTTCCAAACAATCACAAGTTAACACATACTTAATTCGCAAGTGAACAAACTGTATACCTTTTAAGGAAATTTCTGCTAATATAGTTTTATTTGAAATTCAAAAATCAATACAGAAAAATGGCTGTTTGGCACTGCTTTCTATCTATGTGATACTGAATAAAACACACATCAGTATGGTTCATCACACTGATCTCGTAACTGAGACTATTTACTACAAAAATTTTCCTGAAAATTCTTAAAGAGAAAAGCGTCACACAACAGCAATCTGGGCCATGAACAAGATTTTTAAAATTCTCACAATCCCAATATTTTACTTTTATGAGAAAAAAATTCTTCACCAGGTCTAATGCCCTCTTTACATATTTTCATTTTTTTAAAAATAAGGGGAAGCCAGGCGTAGTGGCACACACCTGTAATCCCAGCACTTGGGAGGCTGAGGCAGGAGGATCACTATGAGTTCAAGACCAGCATGGGCTACATAGTGAGTTCCAGGGCAGTCTCAACTATATAGTGAGACCCTGTCTCAAAAAACAACAACAAAATAATAATAATAATAATAATAGGAGGAATTTACAGATTTACTCTACAGTTGGTTTACATCATATGCAATATAAACTAATATATACATATGTCAGAAAAAACCTAATACAGGAGTCAATCTGAAATGTATTATATAATCTTACATTTATAACAAATAAGTAATTTACTAATCCCTAATTGCCAAGTAAAACTAAAAGGATAATATGAGATAGGGCTTATCTAATAAAACAGACAGTAAAGCAACTGAAATCTTCTAAGATCAAATATTATAATTCCTTCAGAGGATTCTGACTCACAATTTTTCTACCATTTCTATTCTATACTCAAGTAACTGGAAAACCAAGTCTAAAGACGGCTGATCTGAAATAATAAAAACAGAAATTTTGACCAGAAATTTTGATACCTAAGAGAAAGTATCAAAATTAACAGGAAAAGACCAGTCATCACTCAGAAAATACAACATTTGTGTAACTACTGCTCCACAGTTAAACAAACCCAAATCTTTAGGTCATATATGCAGACCACACAAATTAGATTTTCCAGGAACAGGAATTTCAAATCAAAGCTTGATGCTCAATCCCAGGATAAAACACCCTAGGGTGAGTTAGAAAATAACATTTGATTCAGGTTTTGTGGCACATGTCTGTAATACTCAACAGGTTGAGGCATGAGGACTGACATGAGTTTGAGATGAGTCTGAACTACATAGCAAAGACCCTATCTTAAAAAAGAAACAACAGGGCTGGGGATTTAGTTCAGTGATGCCACAGCCTGCCTCCCAAGTGCAAGGTCCTGAGTTCGATTCCCAAAACATACATACATACATAAATACACGTATATAAAATTGAGTCACAGTAGGTAATTCTGGGTGTCATTTATTACAGGAATAACACTAAAGAACACTTACCTTTATGGGGTCTGTTTCAATTGTATTAACAGCCTACCTACCTCTGGAGTACTAAACTGGCATTGAAAGCTTTATACGTTTTGAAGTGCTCCACACAAATGGAAAGCATTATTCAGGCTATATGTAAGAAGCATGTTCTCCCAACAGACAGTCTGAATAGGGAATGTGTAGGAGCAATTTTTAATCCTGAATGACAATGATTAATGATTCTAGAGGCCCCACCCACTACCGCCCATCAGCCCAGAAATCAAAAGCTATCCTACAGAAGAGATCAAGACACAAAGTTAACATCATCCTGTGGGACCAGAATTGGACCACATGACACCAATGATGGAGCTTATCCCCTTCATTCCATACGACACGTTTTGGTCTCTATCTTTTGGGGTAACCTAAACATCTCTGTAATTCAAGTGACAAAACAGTCAGGTCTTGCCCAGGAGGCTGAGACAGGAGGATCACTGTGAGTTAAGAGGCCAGACTGGTCCACATAGTGAGTTCAAGACCAGCCTGAACTGTATAGTGAGATCTGTCTCAAAAAGAGAGGATTTAGCTCAATAGCACCACACCTGCCCAGCAAACTCAAGACTCTGAGTATGATCCGATCTCTGGTACCCAGTATGGGGGAGGCAGGGGGAAACCAGGCATGGTGACACAGGACTGTAATCCCAGCACTCAGAGGGCTAAGGCAGGAGAATCCCTGAGTTCGAGGCCAACCTGAGCCTCACAGTAAATTCAAAGCCAGCCTAAACAACACAGTCAGATCCTGTCTTTAAAAAGAAAAAAACAGAAAGAAAGGAAGGCAGTGGGGAGGGACAAACAGAGGCTGAGAGGAAGGGAGAGAGAGCGATAAAGAGAGGAAAGAACCCAGAATTTAGCTCAGTGATGCCACCTGCCTCTCAAGCACAAGGTCCCAAATTCGATCCCTCAGTACCAAAAAAGAGGAAAGAAAACAAGCTATGATAGAATTAAATGTAATAAATTATTACATGCCAGAATTTATCAAAATAATCAATATTCTAATATGTGTATAAACACTAAACCTATTCCCAAAACAACCTCAAAACAAAAATTCTTCAAGAATTTTTGGGTAAGGGCTGGGGGGAGGGCTAGCTCAGTGGATCCACTGCCTTCCTTAGAAGCACAAGATCCTTCAAACCCCAGAACCACCAAAAAAAAAAAAAAGTAGAGTAGGTAAAAAAAAAATCACAAAATTAAATTTTACTTTACCCACTATGGAGGAATTTGTTAGGAAGAACTGACACCCAAATACCAAAAAATTAATATTCCTTAAAGATATTGATATCAGAAGTCCTTATTTTTTTTTCTTTCTTTTTTTGGTACGGGGGATCAAACTTGGGTCCTTGCGCTTTTGAGGCAGGCAGCAGCACCACTGAGCTGAACCCCCAGCCCCATATAAGTCCGTATTTCACAAAATCCATGCTGACAGGACAGCCATTGAGTAAATGCTGAGTGTACAAATCAGTAAACTTCTGAGCACTTTCATGCCTAGAAATCTGATAAGCACAAAGAGTTACAAAAAAGTATAACATTTTCTGCCTTTAAGCTTGTAATCTATCTATCTGAGTAAACAGAGTCCCAGGTGACCATTGTCTTCCCCATGTTCCTTTAGTGTACAGAGTAATATGGTGAAAGACCACAAGGCAATCAGATCTTATAACCAAAGCAAAAACAAATTAGGTCACATGTAAATCAAAATTACTGCTGCTGTCTTAAGGTACAATAGGTAGACATATTTCAACTATAACTTTTATGGGTTGCGGGCCGGGGATTTAGCTCAGCAGTTCAGTGGCCTGCCTTGCAAGCGCAAGGACCCGAGTTCAATTCCTGGTACCAAAAAGAAAAAACTTTTATGGGTTGAAAAATGACAGATTCATTACTAACACTTACCACTCCACTGCATGACTTTGTTTTCACATCCAATTTCACCAACCCAAAACCTTTAAAAAGTAAAGAGCAAAAGATAACAAAATGAATCTTTTGAATAAAAGATGCTTATCTATTATTGACAGTATACTTAAAGAGATTCCATATATACACAAGGGAATAAAAAGGGTACTCATTCACAATATTTAAAAGAAATTTTAAAAATTAATTCCATACATACTTAATAAGACAGAACAACTCTATACTTCTTAGCCCAGTGTTGGTACAACAGCCCCTCCCAAAATGCTTTCAAACCATTTTAACCTAAATATATCAGAAAACCATCTGACTGAAATATCAGCCATCACCAATAGTTTATCATTACAAAGATGGTTGGGACATTTATCTAAAAAAGGGTACCTCCAATAACATAAGAGGAGAGGATGTCAAAAAACAAAAAACTTTAAGCCAGGTGTGGTGGTGCATGGCTGTAATCCCAGCACTCCGGAGGCTGAGGCAGGAGGATCACTGTGAGTTCGAGACCAGCCTGGGCTACACAGTGAGTTCCAGGTCAGTCTCACTACATAGTGAGACCCTGTCTCAATGCCCCCCACAAAAAAAACCCAAAGAGGAGAGGATGGACAGAATAAGATCTTCAAAAAGATCATTAAACTGAAAAATACAACTCTTTCAAGGGTATTAGGAGTTACAACCACAATGCAAAACAGTAATACCTCTAAGCAACCAAGGCCTAAACTATAACTAAAGAAAATGAAAGCATAAGCTGCTTTCTCTTAAAAGCTATAGTATGAAACTGGAGTGAATTGTAACGTTTAACAGTTTAATCTAAAATGTATCTAGTAGAAGAATTAATGTAGCCAGATACTTGCAGTTCAAACTAATTTAACTTTCCCAAGGGATGAAAGCACACTTCCTCCACCCTTTTTTCTTTGGAGGTAGAGCCTCACTAAACTGCTAAACTGTCAGAGCTGGGATCAAACTCTCAATCATCTTGCTTCAGCTTCCAAGGATGCTGGGATTATGGTCATACATCACAATGTCTGACATTTTCATTTTTGTCCTAAAATTACATTTTCAGTCTAGATATAAAATTAAAGAAAAAGGTTCTTACCAAATCCTTTGTTAAAAATATCTCTGGCAGCTTTGCCAAGGTCAGCATATGACGGAGGAATACACATCGCTGATAAGCAGAAACACAGTCCAGTGTTAACTACATTCTTATTTTCCCACCTTCTGTGCAAGAACCCAATGCTGATTTTTAAATTCAAGCAGTTCAACTTACTAGAATTATGGTTTTGATACCAGGGGCCACAGTAAAGCTGTATTCTAATTGGAGATATCCCCAACAAAGGCTTATCTCTAAAATAGATAACTTAGTAGTTACACAAACTTGGGAAAGTTCCTCCAAAATAGAAAAACAGACTTTCTAAAATTTACAGTGCCTAGAACCCCACTTTGTAGGACCAGACTAGTACAAAAAAAATTAAATTTAGAATATAGATATCTTTTATAGATATATACATAGATATATATGGAATAAATTCAAAACTTAAAACTAGGCCCTCTTCCTTGAAATATCCCTAGTACCCTCTCTCAGATCAAAACCACTTCTCAGGAGTAGGAAGGAAAAGAAACGTAACACTCTGGGAATTTAAGTATCAGGCATTAGGAAAAACACAGCCATCCACTTTTCACTAAAGTGTTTACACCACCAACTGAATATCAAATGGCACTTTAAACATATTAATATGACTCTCAAGTGTTCCACCAATTCGGTGCAGCTTAAGGTCAAGCAATCTGAGCTCTCACAGCAGCTCATTCATTCTGCAGAGCACGTCCACGCCCTTAGGAGCACATGTAGTGACCTTGGCCTCCCACGAGGTAGAAAAACTACTTCCTCTAGGAAAGTAACCGAATCCTTCAGAGGCGGAAAGTTTTTGCTTTCGAATCTGTCACAGACACATACAAAAACTGAAGGTGAATCAAGCTACACAGACCAACGCCCTGGGCCCGGGCCCCCTCCCCGAAAACCAGCAGTCCAGCTCCTCCACCACAGGGGCGGCGGTCAGTCGGTGGAGCGGTCACCGAAAGGGGCCGAACCCGGCGACTGGGGCCGAGGGGAGGGAAGAGGTTGTAGCTTTGTAGTCGTAGGTTTCTACTTCCCGGGCACAGCCGCCCGGTATCGCAGAGGTCCCGCCGCTACTTACGCCGCGCGCAAGTCGGTCCGTGGGTCGCCATGGCGAGGTCGCTGGTGGTGGTCTGCGGCAGGAAGAAGAGCGGTCAGCGGGAGTCAGAGGAGGGTCACAGGGGGTCTCGGACATAAAAGGGCTGAGGGGCCGGGGGGCAGCGCGGCCATCTTGGGGAGCCAGGGCCAACCCGAGCCCCGCTCAGGCCTCCCGCTTGGCCGCCG